AAAAAAAAAAAAAAAAAAAAGAAAAACTCTTGAAGAAATAATATTGAAACTAATAATGAATAAAATGAATAAAATGTAAACTGTCATTGATTTAAAGGTAAAATAAAAATGTGAGTAGTTCAGAAATTTGTTCAATTGGATTATAAAATTTTTCAAGATACTTGTATTCTAAAATTGCTAGTTTTAAATAAGAAATTATTTGGTTCTTGTGACAATGTTTATTGAATTATTTTTGATTATCATTACACTGGTGCTGTAGAAGATTACTTGAATACTTTAAGTAGTAATTGTAAATTATTTTATATTGTTTAATATTAGAAATTGATTCATGATTACAACATGAAAATGATAAAGTAAAATAGGTGAGGTACACAAAAATAATACAGAATATTAAAAATTGGAATATAGATAGTTTTAGGATATAAAATATTTTTTTGTATCGGATGAAAAAATGTATTCAAAGATGTAAAATTTAAGAATGTAATTACACTTTTCAGGTGTAATTACATGTATGGAGGTATGTATAAGTAATATGAGTATACAATATTTAATGCTGTTTTATTTTATTTTATAATATGATTTACATTTGCTTTAAAGGTATAGCTTAATCCAGTTGTATAATATAAAATGTTTCAATTTTAGAACTGAACAAAATATTTTCTTTAGTAATATGCTACAGAATGAAATTAATCTGTTTCCTTCATTTTATAAAAAGAATATTCTTTTACTTATTTTTGAATACTATCATTTATATAAATATTAAGAAAATTGTAACTTCTAAAGAATAAATATGCAATGTTCATATGATATAACTTTTCATGTAAAATAAAATTTAACTGAAATTTATTTAAAAAACTGTATTATATATATACACATAAAATTAGTACTCAAGATGTATTAAGAAATAATTGCTTTAAAAATAAAATCTACTCTAATTAACATAATGTAATGGAATTGGTGCAGGCATATCATACTGAATGTAACTGCCATAATTGATCATCAAATACACAGAAAATAAAATGTTGTCATCAAACATGCACATATAAAGTAGAAAGTGTTTCATGTCCCATAGATTCAATTTAAAAGCAAAAGTCACAGAATCTTATTTTCAATGTTAATATGTTATATCAAATAGACAAATTTAATTTTAATACTAATATATAAAAATAAAAGGAAAAAATTTAAGCATGTTAAGAATCAATTTTATTAACTTTCATGTGCTTTTTTAACCCTTATATGATAAATATTATTGTATATAATAAAACTTTATAATATTTTAAAGTAATTCAAATTTTGCAATATTTTTGGTAATTTATAGGTGGATATTTAAATACCAAATGTAATTAGAAACGTCAAGTTATAATATTAAAATGTAATTGTGCTAAATTTTGGTTGTTTTTCTGTAATTATTTTAGTGATAGTTTATTAAATATTGTAACAAAAGATGTTCGATTTTTATGGCAAATTTAGCAATAATTTATAATCTTAGTGCCTACAAATATTTATGTGTGTATGTGAGAGCGGTATATTATGTACAGAATAATTACAAACATTTATGTGTCACACATTCGTGTACATGCAATGTATCATGTAATAATTATTTAAGCAACATTAAATTAATATTAATAAATATATTCTCAAAATGACTTATATATTATAATTAAATATGTATAGCATGTGCTTATTTTAAAAAGTTTGAATAATGAGAATGTATTCAGCGATAAAATTATGCCATTCTGGTATTTTTTTTATACTTATATATCATATAAGTTAAGTGCAATATATTTTTAATTGTAGTAATTATTCTCATTGTTTAATTCAAGATACTTTGTATACATATTTCAACATAAAAACGCTCTCATACCTTTATTGTTACTTAATATTGTGCTGAAATAACTATTTATTTTATTCGTTATTATTAATATAATTGATTATGATATATACAAATTATAAAAGCAATGACTATTCTTGCCAATGTAATATTAAAAAGAATTAATTACCTGTGAATTATTTCATGTGAAAAGTCAAATGTGTAATATGTTAAAATATAGTAGCTATTGATAAATGGAAGCAAATAAAGCACTACAAGAAAATACAAGAAAATATTTTTATAATATTTATTAGAACCTTTCCATAACAAGACAAAATTTGCTAGTATGAATAACTATTATTAAATAATATAGAAAAATTGTATATTTAGTTTTTATTTTTAACATATACTTTTAATATACTTGGTTCTTACAAATTTAGTAATATGAAAGGTTTTGTTTTTAAAAATATTTTTATAAAAAATGTAATGTACCGGACTTTCGAAGTTGAATTTAATATGAAATATATATTAGAATTAGTGGAGACACATTAGAAAAAATGTACTATCAAAATGTTTCAGTTTTTAAAAATTAATATTAGTTTATTTTTTTATTTATAATATTAGTATATTAGTTTATTTATAATCAAAGTTGAGTATAAATTTATTATAACATTAACATAAGGATGAAGCCATTCATACTATCTGTAGATTAAAATCAAATTGGATTTGAAACAATCAATGTATTTTTCAGTATAATTTTGCCTTCTGAACAAAAATAAGATTTGTTTTTTCCTCCAATTAGTATTGTTTGTATGTTTTAAATTCTAACTATTAAAGAAATGGAAAAAATAAATTATGTTTATCTTCAATGACTTCAATTTGATTATTAATCTTCGATTTTAAATTAGATTTCCACAAAGTTATATTTTTCGGCTTAATGTTTTTAAAATGTGAAAAATATGTCGTTATAAAATTGTAAACAAGATGTGTTAATATTTGAAACATTAAAAATACTGATATATTTTAAGCGTAGACAGTGTTATATAATAGAATGTATACCGTAAGGGAGACTGTTAGTTTCGACTATTTATACATCTGGCATAAAAAATATAATAAATTTGTGAAAACAAGAAAGTTTATGAATACAAAACAATCGCGCATGTACAGTTGTCTTCACCGAAGCAACAACGTGGGACTTTTTATTAATATTCTATTTCTTGAAAAAGATGGTTATTCCCGAATGTTTCTTTGTGTTTCTTCATTCTCTTCCTGTTTCTTCATATTTCTTCTAGTAATAAAAGTTGCTGCTTGTTATCTCTTTTTGTTCGAACTAGTAAAAGGCAGAAAAATAGAAAAAGTTATGAACACATCACGATAGAAATGAATATTTCTTGAATTTGTTCTCTTTATCGACTGTTTTACAACACATTGTTACTTTCAGCACGAGCACAATCAACACAATGTCTGAAATAATCAAGTGTTATACTGACCTAATTATTAACATTTGAAAGTATTGTCCATCTGTTAATATATCGTCATTGTTTAGTGCATTCGTAAATTATACGTCCTCGAATTTCTGGCTTAAGTAACATTTTCACAGTTAGATTTGTTTCAATATATGATTCGAGGTGACATTTCGTATCAAGCGATCTGAGTATTCTCAATATCTGAGGTATTACTGAGTACTTATTCAGTAGTATATAAGCCTTCGACGTATTGCGAATGGGATTGTGATTATGTCAAAATATGCTATGGAGGAGTTAAGTTTTACTTAAGTAAATTAATAACATTTTAATGAAAAATTTTGCATTTTATTGTTTTTGTCGCTAGATTTCATAACTTTTGTCATAACATATATATAATTAATTTTTCAATATTTGTTTCTTTTCTTATTCCATTTCTTCCAAAACTAATATATAGCCTGTTTTATGAACTAAAACTAATTATTCCATTGATCATTTAACCAGCTGTTGTAGATTTAGCATTAAATCAGAGTTCAAAGTGAATTGCTATGTAATCTATCCATATATAGATATATTTCCAAAATTGGGCTGTTATTCGCAGAAATACGCCCACTACATACTAAATACGTTAAAACTACATGTCAATATATCTCTCTGCGAAAAAGATTATAAGTGAAGTAGTTAAATGTTCTATGTGTTAAAACGGAAGAAGATATACTATGCAAAAACAGAATATGATCAGGAAATAGCGTCACTTTTAACCGCCGTTTATCTTAAGTGACTCACATCATATTAGTAACGGTATTGCCCGCATAAGTGCTCGAATTCTGTTCAATGTTCACTGTCATCTCTAACAATTTTTGGAATTGATTAACGAAGCATCTCCAATATTAATTTGTTCCGTATCGAATATCAATATCTCTTTCGTACTTATTCTTTCTTCTTTGAGTTAGATTCTCAGAAATTATTCTCCCAGATAAATAAACGTCCAGATAGTCCTGAACTGCAGACACTGAAGCAAGTAACTAGTGTATGTATATAATCTAGGTTTAAAGGTTCATTTTAGAGTAATTAATTAGGTTCGCAATACAGTAGTGAATGCTTAACCCCTTGGCTACTGTGGGCGCATATACGCGATCAGAAATTTTGCTTTTGTGACACGGAAGGCGTATATAAGCATTCATCACAGTTTGCTTTTGTGACACGGAGGGCGCTTATAAGTGCTCAACACAGTTTGCTTTTCTGACACGGAGGGCGCATCTATACCCAAAATTTTGTCGTTCTCGGCGGACATTATAAATGAATTCCTACCCGTGTGGTACGACCGGTGCGTTTCAAAGTCTGCCGTAGTCAAAGGGTTAATTACCTTACTTTTTGCATGCATAATCGTTGCAGAATTATCACTAACAATTGCTTGAATTGTTTTGAACGATGAACGTTTGACATAATATGCTGATTTTCATTTTTCAAGTCTCTCATTCTTTTATTTGTCCCTAAGTAGAGAAATTTTAAGACACATAAAATGTTTTTTTACTTTGTTTCATACTTTGTAGTTCCGACTTTGCGACAACTAAGCGTGCACTAATGTATCAAGTACCCCCGGGAGCGCATTATGCAAATTAGTAGGTTTTGCTGAGTGATAAAAAATGATAATTGTGAAAACAATTATGTCTTATTCAATAAGAGAGAGGAATCTGAGGGAAAGTACGAAAGATTTATATTTCTTACTTGAAATTTAATAATATGTCTTACAATTAGAGGGATCATACCGAATTGTTAATTACAATTTTGTTAAAACTTTAATAATCCTAGACTAGTCGAAAATATTAAACACGGATTTCTTTCATCTGCTATCATCTATGCTGAACGGCTGAAATTCCAAATTTTGATTACTAAAACATATTTGATCTAATATTTCGTAAACTATTGAAGACAGGACAAAAGCGTAAATTTTATTACTTAAGTTTGTGTTTTTTAATTACGAATCTAACTGTGTAAACGAATTTCCAAAAAATCCACTTGTTTAAACTATATAATATTTATTTATTTTCTTCAATTTTTGCATATAGGGTGTATATGCCCAGATACAAAATACAGATAGATTAAAATTTTGATTTTTACAATAACAAAAAAGTTAGTTTTGGAATTTTTTTGCATTTTGAGCCAAATATATCATATTTTTATGTTAATTTGAAGTAATTATCTTGCAATAAATCGATTTCTTATTAGAATCGATTATTATCGCTAATATTATCAAACTTTGAATAACCTTGGGTCAGATACTAAACGACAGTTTCAGGTGTTACTGTTCCTTAAGCTTTAACAGGTTATGATGGAGTTATCGATGAATTACTCTTAGATTGGTTTCGACTATTTTTAAATATGTTGTAATGGACGAAACAATTCCGTCTTATATACGTATTCGTCGCCAGGTCTTAGTTTCTCAGATATACGTCAAAGATGCACATGATATTTTTCAACATTATAGTGTAGAATTATAGCTTGCCCTTGCAAGAAATCTCTTAAGGGTAAAAAGAAAATCAAAGTAATCAAAGTGACTTAATTTAAAATTTATATTGTTCTTATTTATTTGTTAGTTACTTAATAATAATATCGATAGATTTACATTTTAATATTTTGATTTAAGTATTTATTGTTTTGCATTATTTAATATTTAACATTTAATATTTACTTACAAAAATTTACTTTGTTTCTTATTTTAGTATGGAAAAATCGCTCCTGCTTCTCATATCTTATGAGATATTATGGAACACTTCACGTAACTAAATAATCAAAAATAGATTTGAGATGTTTCCAAAGAAGCCTGTAAGTATATTGCTAATTTAACTATACAATTCATAACACATTTCAAAAAATAACGCAGTTGAAAATTTCCATCAATTTACATTTACCAAATTTGGTTTTCAGTATACATTTCATATAACCTTTTACTCTGAAGGAAAACCAAATTTGCGACTTTTCTCTCTTTTACATTATTAAAAGTGGTAAATCATGAAATTGATCTACACAATTATATGCTATTTAGTTCAAATAGCATATAATGCATAGTATTTTCATAATGTTTTAATAGAATATAACATAAGACTATAACAATTAAATATTTTTTTAATATTATAACAATATAATATTTTTGTAATTCTTTTTTTAAATTTTGAACTGCAGCCAGTCGTCATTTTCGTCGTGCATTAATCCTAGCCATCATGCAATGAGAGGCTATATCATACTGTAGTATAGTAACCTCGACTCTTTGAAGATGGCGCTTCTATCGGCATGACTTCTTGCCAAAAATTCCTCACAGAGATATTCCGTTTCTAGTGCTAGTAATAGCCAAGATCTCATTTATTGTTGTTTGGCGATGTAGAATCCTTGACCAAGGCCAACAACAGTGAATATCCTCAGAATATGACATCAAGCCAATCGAAATTATTCTCATATTTTATCAATCCTACTATGATTCTCTACTGTAACTTCCTAGATAGTCAATTAGATCAAGTATATCATTATGACTATTATCTATATATAACGACTGTAAATACCTCTAGAAATTTTATTTTATATATCATTCGAATTTGAGTGACATAACGATCCATGTGTCGAATGTTTCGTATTACTGTTTCGGAAGTCGAAACAGGAGTTCTTACTACACTCGTACTTATCTGACACGGAGTCAGGGAATCAATAGGATTCCTGCAATCGACGATGATCTAAAGTCATCGAGTCTCTAGGATGGATTCAAGTACAGATGAACCTGGTGATGAACTTGAAAGCTGTTGGAAGTTGAAATTTCGAGAACGAATCGGATCGCAAAATAAAGAGTTACTGGGAGAGTTTTGCAGACGAATTGCAGGAGGCGGTAGGAGATTGAAAGACACAAATATTCAGATGTACAAAAATACAAAAGATGTACAAATGTATAGAACACTGCAAGAATGATCACTTGTGGAATGCTGTTCATAAATAAACACAATATACCTCTAATGCAACCCGTTGATACCAGGCAAGGATAGAAATTCAAGCGTTATTCGATCAATGACATTTATAATTTTCGACTGGAAACTCAGGAAAGGTAATAGGAACATAGAATGCGCGAGGAGGCCGTCGAATACCTCCGATGGATACGTTATGCGCGTTCAACTACAGGATCCATACACCGGTCGTGTATGCGATGGTACCTAGGATGAAAAGGCCGACAGACCGTCGTATTGATACAGAATGAGCCATCAGTCCAGCGACCACCCTATAATTCAGAATTCGACCCACGACGAGATTGACAGTGTCTGGAAATAAGTGACGGAGATGAGCCGTAAAGATGACTTACGAAGATGACTAAAGTGGCCGAGTACACGGAAGTACGACGCGTAGGCTTGTCAGTACTTTCAAATGATCGCGATTATCACAAAAATAATTATGTTCTATTGGGTAAACGAGAGGGATGTTGCATCGCGTGGATGTAGATGAGCTCCACGCGGAGGGGCAGCGATGGTATACTTGTGTTGCCCCTTTTTCTCAGTGTGCCGAATCCCTTACGAGACACTGAGCACTTAGGTGGTAATAAAGCGCAGATTGTGGTTGTAATTACGCTTTATTCTACGATTATGATGCGGGTGTGTGTGATTGGTGTGTGTGTGGTGTATCGTCTTCTCCCTTACCGTTTTTCGTTTCGTTTTCCGTCTTCCGTTTACCGCCTTGCGTCTTCCAGTTCTAGTTCACGTCTGTCGTGTCTTGTCTGAGCTCCAAAACCGTCTTACGTCATCTGATGTGTTTTGTTTGATTTCTCACGATCGTCTGATGTCTCGTTTTATAATTTTTTGATCGTCAAGAAGGACGGCGAGGCGCGTCTTCCACGTATTATTGCCGTCGCAACAAGGGATAAGGGGAGAAACCTTTACCTTTGTACAGAAAGCGCGTATTATTAGTCCAGGAATTTATTTTATAACTGTGTACTTAGAACTAAATGCAGGCATTATGCGTCATCTGTTAATGTCTTCTAAATAAAATTTTGAGAAAGTTGTAAACTTTTAAGAAAAATATATAAATCTAAAAGGAAATGGATTAGCAAGAGGAAAGAAAAAAGCGAGACGAATATAAACCACAAAGATCAGCCAAATAATAAATGCATAAATGAAAACAACACATCGATGAGATGTAAACACGCCAACGATGAAACTTGAATAAACTAGCGACGAAACATTCGAATTTTCAAATAAAAATAAATAGGAACAAAGAAATAAAATTTGAAAAAAGGAAAATAATTAAGACATGAAAAAGAATGATTGTTAAATTGTTTAAGGGGGTGGCGTGGTACCATGCCAATCTCACTTCGATCCTCTCTCACCTCAGACCGCGCCTGAAGAAATAAAAATATTTAATATCACTCTTCCAAAGTTAAACTGACAAATAAGTTGAACAGTGGCGTGTCGCCCTTTATGTAGCCCAGAATTGATCGAAGATCGACGGAAATTTCCGGATTTTACCGATTCCATTAATTATTATTTTTGAGCTGTAATGGTCAATAATTTATTAATTTCTTCACTTTTATTATAAATTTAATCCTGTGTATATTTGGCTAAAACGAAATATTACAGGAAAAATAAAAACGTTAAAAGATTCATTTTCATTTTAAAAGTTAGATGGGAGTTTATTTTTTAATCTATTATACTTTATATCAAAAAGTCATTCGTATTTAGGTATCGAATAACGAACCTGTCTTAAATAACAAGTGATTCAGGGAAATTAAAATTAAAATTAAAATTATTTTATAACTAGTATAAAAGAACATATAGAGTATATGATAAGAGTACATGAGAACATATACATGTAATATATGTAGGATATTTTTAGGCATTGTTAGGACACGATGGTCGAACACTTCGCCAGGTTTAGAGGATCCGTTAGGGTCTGGCGGCTAGATGGAGTGTAGGAGGTCGGGGCCAGGTCACGTGAGGTAGCCTGGCGCAATCCCGGCTTTCCCCATTGTAACCGAGGGTGACGCGTCCGCGGTCACCTCTCGAGTAGGGTCCCCGCGAGGGTGACCCTTCGGAGAGCCTAATCCGGAAGAAGTCTCTCCTACCCCTGAGCTTTGCGTGGGGGAGAGTTTTCTCCTCCTTTGGGGGAGATCCTTGCCTTCCAGACGAGCTTAAAAGGGCCCGCTCTGGAAGATAGAGTTAGTCCGTCAGTTCGAGATAGTTGCTTTTAGTTGTCTTATAGTTCATCAGTAGTTCGTGTTGAGAGCGAGGATTCAGACTGAGTCAAATCCAGTCCCTAGTCTGCAGTGAAATTCAGAACCCGAAGTACTCTTCAGCGTAGTAGAGACTGTGTGGCAATACATAAATATATAAAATGAGATCTACTGGATCATGATTTTGGTGTCGATTATGCCCTGATGAAACTATAGGTGTGCGAACAATGATTGCGTAGCAGCAAAATCCCGTTCACAGGTTTTCAATATTTATTGTTACAAATCGCGAGTGTAATTCTTATTCTTCAAATTCGATCGTTGGATTGCCGAAGAATTCTAAAACGTCAGAATAGATTTTCCCTACTGAAAAGGTTGACAGCACTCTCTGAACTTCGATGGAAGACGTTCCTTTTATAGTCAACAGCCGATTGTTATTTAAACCGAACATTCTGGGAGGTGCTGGATTGTTCTGCACTCATGCATAGATATAGAATGCACTCATACCGAGTGGATATGATCTCGTAACAATATTTTATCGTCTTGTCAACATTGAAGATCATCGAAATATTGTTTCTGAATGGTTTCCTCTTCAGAAAAGCCTACAGAATAGGCTACTGTGTAGCAAATTTGTGTTAGATAAAGAACTTTTTGTAAAATGCAAGAATACACGTAGAAATATATGCTCGGAGGCTTATTTTTAAACTTTGATGAAATTATATTTATTCAGAAGCACAAATAATTATAATTATGTAGGATGGCGAAAAATGGTCTCGAGACATCGAATATTGACGAAGGAACAAGAACACAATAACACAAACTCAAAACTCGTAAACTGATTTAACTTAGGAAAAGAAGACCAAGATAACGAAACGAAAACACACAAAGACGCACTCTTTTTTAACTCTCTTTCCAATACCAAGCGATTTACGCTTGTGCTGGTCACAATCGATTTCTAAGGACTAGACTAGAAATTTTGTTATCCAAAATAACTTTTTCATTTGCTTCTAGAAAATATTGATCGATCTATAATTTGTTTCTGTTGGCAATAGCCGATTCGCGATTTCTTTTGGTATCCTACAATTATGGACATTGATAAATTCGGGATACTCTCACCTAACTTTTAAGACAACAATAAACTTTCTAACGTTCTTACTTTTCATGTAATACTTCATTTTTGCCAAAAATTGTACCTTTTTAGAAAAGCAAACTCGATAAGAATCACTCAATGGATATTACAGATTAGAGAAAAAGTTAAAATTTGTTGTACAGTGTAATAAATGTTTTATTAAAAAGTTTCGAAAATAATCAATATCTCTGCCACTTTATAACATTTTTACGTGAGAAAAAATGAAATGTAAAACTAAAATTTATGTAATAATATTATCCAAAAAAATCGAAATTTTTTATCTAGAAATCATTTTTCAAAATAATTCCCAAACATTATTTAGTTTTGTACGTGTTCCAGATGGTTAATCCTCTTAGGCGAATTTTCTACTAATCCGGGTGAAAAAATAATTAAAATTTATACAATTGGAAATTTGTGTGCGAAGGCATTGATCACCCTTTATATAAATGCAAAAAATTATTATATTTTCTTTTTTCATGATTGTGAATCACAATTTCATTTGTTTGTCTCATGATTATAGTAATTTAATGTTTAAATTACATGTTTGAAATAAAAACATATCGAATAATTTTTTATTATATTTCCATCTTTTATATTTCGGGTCATTTTTCGTTAGTAAAAGTAGTAAAAGCAATTTCATGATTCACTGTAAATAAAAGAATTATAAAGTTATATAATCTTCTCGTAATCAACTAAATAAATATTGATTTCTACTTTTATAAACATTTTTATTAACAAATTGCATGTTTTTAATTACCTTATAAATCATTACATAGAAGAATTATTATTTCATTGCACATATAATTTACAATAATTACAATTTATTACTAAATTAAGTTAATACTAACTACTAAGAAATAATTGGAAATTAGAAAAAGATGTTCTTGTATGCATCTGCTTCACATTTTATAATTTATTAATATATAACAGATTGTAACAAATTGAAACATTAGAAAATATTCGAATAATAAGAATTTCTATATAACAGTGTTTTGATACAAAATATTACATTAATGTTTTACAAACTTACTTAAACAATTAAAATAAATAATTAAAATATAGTATCATTACATTTTATGATTTAAATTCTTGCATCGCTTGCTTTGGTAATACGATACTTTGGCAATACAATGTAACATTTGTTTTATTTTAATTTATTATGCAGTAATGATGATATTTAATTCTAAAAGTAAGATAATTTAAAGCACCGTGTTAAGCTGCACTATACTTATTTCAATAAAAAAATTGAGAGCAGTTGATATCTTATAGAATTGTAGATTACGCGAATACAATAACATAATTTTGTTGCGATACTAAAACATGTTTTAAAGCGAAAATATTTTTGAAAAAAAAAAATCGTGAGTTTTTATAACATTGTATCTGTGTAATCGAAATTTTTTGTCTCCATTATGGAAAAAGGAATAAAATAAAATTTTGTACAACTTGTAGTAATTATTATAGTTATTTAATTGTAATAACATTGCAATAAAATATTCTATTTTTGAAAAGAATTTATAAATAAATATAAAATTTATTTATAATAAATATAATTTTCTTATATTTATAATAAATATAATTTTTTCTTGTGGCAAGTTTATAGTACCTCAAACATATTTAAAATTTATTATTATTCTATTATATCAAGAAATATAATAGTTTAATAATTGTATTGCATTAAGAATAAATTATTAATATATTATTATTGATTATATCATGAAACACAGTAATGATCACAGAATATATCTGCTTATGATCGAGATAAGGTAAGGTACTATTTTTCATATTTTTCATATGAATAAGACAAAGAAACAGTAAGTGTTTATTACACTAAGGTGACTTGAAAATTTCGATACACGATATGGTTAAATATTATAATTGAGAAGTTTGCTATATGGTCAGTAGAAATACAAAAGAAAGAAGTTAATCATTAATAAATTGTTTGGTATAACACTGTATCCTAAAGATTATTTCAGAAAACTTTTTAAGAAAGATTACTTTAGATTACTTAGATAATATTATAGACATTTTCAGAAATTTTGTGAAAATATTTAAAAAATGAGAAAAAGAACTGAGAATATAAATTCATATTAAGACCAGAAAAATTGTATTTCATTTTTTCTAATATCTGGTATAATACCATAGACACTTATATTAATATAAAAACTCACAATTCTTTTGAGGAGCTTCTTTGATTCTTTTTGTTTTTTAATGCAACAAGAACAAACCATGTTATAGGACCAACCTATGTTATAAATTGTTTTGTATATAGTATTAAACTTGATGATCTATAATATCTCTGTTATAATTAAAATAAAAAAAGAAAGATTCAGTTTATTGTTTCAAATAAAACATCATATTTCATTTATATGTATATAATACCCACTTTGGGAAAGAATTTGACAAGAGTAAGTCCTTGAAGGTCCATAAAGATTGCACAAATAAAGTTTCCTCTATAATTTTCAATGCTAACGAATTTTGAACATAAATTAAAAATATATATAATATTTATAATATGTTGATAAATAAATGAAACATTTTTAAAAACAGAATATTATTTCGTAATAGCGTCAAAAATTATACAGAAAATTCGATTTATATAACTTTTGATAAAACGAAAAAATGTAAAAGAAACAAAGTCGAGCTTTTCATCTTCTTCATTCTTTTCAATAAAAGAAAAGTACAATAATTATACGTACGTATTATAAAATTTCTCTAAGAAATAGCTTTATGAAACTTTAATTATACTAGAGATATTTAAGGTGTTACAGTTAGGTGAAATACCCTGTAGAATAATGCTTAGGGTTTTAATGTGTAGAATATAGTATAAAAATATATACAGTTTTAAAAAGGAAAAATTATTTTATCAAATATTAATCTATTTTCTATGAAGACATTCCCTTTGGTTAAAATTTTTATGTTTTTTAGCTGTTTAAATAATACTTTAAATTAGTATTATAACAATATCGTATATAACACATACTACTTTATAACTTAACAACGTAATTTGAAGGAAACAATCCTGCTTTCCCTTTTAATCTGCCGTGCCACCAACCACCTTCGTCTGAAATAAAACACAACATTTGTTAGAATACTAATTTATAACATTAATAAAATTAATAATTTATCATTAATAATTTTAAATAGAACATCAAACATTACGAGATTTGTAAATGTAACTCGCACAATAACGAATTACTGCTTATACATCGTTTTAATGATTTAATTATTCTTAAAATGGTATTTAAATTGGCGAAACTTACGTTCTTTAAGTATTTCAATAATATCACCTTCTTTAAGTGCTATCTCATCGTGATCTTGAGGACTATAATCGTATAGTGCTTTAGCTTTAGGTAAAATAGGCAGTGCTGGTTTCTGTGGACGTGGTTTATTATTTGGCAGTGTTTTATTGTTCGGTATGAGACGAGCCTGATGAGTATGATCTTCAGCTTTATTTACTACTTTTTCGATATTCCATTCTTTAACTGTTTGCATTTCCTTGTTATATTTTACAATTTTATCGTTAATACAATCGTTGCCATTAATCGTCGAAAAGTTGAAGCCAGGCCGAACAGATGGTATGTGCGGTGGTGGTGGTTCAGTTGGAGGCGGTGGAAATTTCAGTAGACCTGATTAATCGTAGAAATTAAGATCAACGTCTTTTAAATCGAATATTTTTAGATCATATTATGATATTATATAAATGTAATTATAGAAATGCTTAATCGTAGAAACTAAAATAAAAAATTTGTTTATATCAAATTATCCTTATTGTTAGACCGTATTGTGACAAATGTAAGGTACTAAACAATTGATACTTTACGATATTATACATATAAACAATTGGCAAATGTAATAAATGTCATTTATAATAATATTTTGAATTAAAATTTTATTATCGATTTTGCTACTAGTACTTATGTTATCATTAAATTAATAAACGGAGAAAAAGAGATAAGAAAGCATTATATTTATTAACTCACCACGTGGAACGCCGTTTGGATTAGTAAACATGCCCATTAGAGGCATAGAATTTTTTTCTATTTTTTTCGGCTGTCTTGATACTTGTGTTTTCTCTTTTGCTTGCGTAGACATATGTAAAGTGCTCGAAGAATCGGTTGACATTTTTGGAATTACAGGTGGTTGTAACTTAGGTCTCTCGGATATCGTGGTTGGTTTGGAAGATAGCGTGTGATCAATTTTCAAATGTGAATTTTGATTTCGTTCTGTAATTGGTCGATGGTTTGCCTGAATCGGGTTGTTTGGAACTGGCTGCAAAATAGCTGGTGAACGAGTACGAGTGTTTTTCATCATGTTGAATTGTTGATTCCCTAGTGGCGTTGATTTAGTAATATTTGGTTCTAAAATTTAAGCAAATAATATTAATCATTTATCAATATTATATTATATTATTAATTAATTATTAACCCTTTGCACTCGAGAGGTGAGCTTCAGTCACCATTTCATAAAATTTAGAAGATCGATATTAATTAATATATCAAATTTAATGTAATGTAACAGTGTGCGAGGTATCGAAGTCAAATAATTCTACAATTCTTTATTTACTGCTCAAAAAAGTGTCGTCAGTTTTTTAGTAGAAAATCTTTGAATTCCTACTCTTCTCTAGCCAAAAAGTCGTCGAGTGGAAAGGGTTCTATTATAACATTAATTATTTGTTTCTATTAAATATTACCTCAATTAATATAATTAACAATTCTATAATTTATAAGATATAAAAATGAAAAAAATTTTGAATAGTGACCACATTTTTTGCCATTACTATTTCAAGTTAAATTATGTATTAATACAGAACTATGTTAAGTTTATTAGAGTCTATGTCAAGACTAAATATTTTTGTTTTGAAAACGCAATAAAAAAACATAATAATGGATAACTGGATATGCAAATGGACTTATCTAAATACGTAAATTTACGTAATTATCGACTTTATTATCGATCTTATGATTATTCAAACGTTTACATGTTGAATTGCTGTCTTTCGAGGAATTCGAAAAAATTCATTCCAGTTGATACATGAAATAATAACTGGGAGAAATGAATTATTTTCCAATCGTTCTGCCTAATTTAAATTGCCAGATGTTATTACAAATATATTCGTGTGCAAAATTAAGGGATTGAGAAATTTAATCGAAGAATTGTTAATATTTAAATTGCTGTAACTTCGCGAAGAAATGTCAAACGACAATTAATTTGGGTTTATTTGAAAGGTCGAACCCTTTACTTTAACATACGTGAACAATCGGCTACCGATATTTTCTTACATCAAAAAGTAGAATGAAAAACCGAGGACAATTTTTTTCTTAAGAACTTTAATGTATTCAAATGTCACTACGGACTGTGATCATTTCTTTTTCTACTCATTTTGTAATGCGATTATAGAGGAAAGTTTCCCCTTTGCAACGATCCGCTAAAAGTCAACGTACGTTTACATTTAATTTCGTTTTATCGCAATTTGAAAGAAAAATATGTTTATCTATGAAAAGTGAATTTCACGAGTATATATTTAATAGCCTAAAAGTTTTAGGCTATGGTCATATGTCGTTACTTTGCAATTTATCGAATTTTTCATTACGAAATTTACTACTTGTAAATGATCCATTGATAATTGGTAATTAAAAATTGTTATCGATCCTTGAATGAAAATTGCAGTCTATTTCTGTTATCAACTTACTGGTAGTACACGGTAATCCTGGACCAATCCAAACGTGCAGGACTTTTCCACTTGGCTTCAGAATTTCTTTGTTACCATATTCAATTTGTGTGAAGTGTATTTGTCTCGTACCTCCACTTCCCCATCCTTCTTTTTTAACTTTAAATTCTATCCTATAAAAATGATGTACATATTAAAATAAATTTATATAGATGAATTTGGTAAATCGTTATTTTACATAGCGATAAGTTGTGCTAACGGTCTTACATGTTACTAAATTTGATGTTCAAAATATGCCCAGTTTCTTCGACGTATCTTTTACTAAGAGCAATTAAGAATTCTGTTTTGAACGTTAACTCGAGTAAACTACCATAGTCTTCTCTTACATGGATAATGAGAAAGCCATCCTGTAATCATTAACAAGTAAAAGAAATTATTCGTTAATAAATAATAGCAATTAGAAAGTAAATAATCGTGAAAGGAAAAATGTGAAAAATACACATGTAATTTCGGATAATGTAAGTAAAATTCCTGGAAATTGAGTAACCAGAACTGTATATTTTATAAGGTCGTTGGATTTGTCTTTTTATATATAAAGTATTTTCTTTTAATCTATAAGGATGTCGAAAAAGAATTATAGGGTGCCATTTAAAAAAATATCGATGATCTCAAATTCTCGTATATAAACAAATGATCTTGTAGAGGTATCAACGATACCATCATACTTCCCATTTCAAAAAGTGCAACTTCGTCCTGAGGGTTTTTTCATATCGTCATAAATAAGGAAAATATTTAGGTATTTCCACTTGACCATTTCCGTACGAGCGTCGACTATAGTCGACAGCCAGAGATGAACGCGAACAGCCGAACGACGGCTTTAGGCGACGGTCAAGAACTTTTACTTTGGTTCTGCATTAAATTTTCTAATTTCTCATTTATTCAAATAAAATTGTGAACATTTAGAAATATCGTAATAAAAACATATGCTCTGCTGATTTACATTACAAGTAAAGCTGCCTGTAATGTAAACAAGCTTTCAGTGCTTCAAAGATTTCCTCATCACAGATCTGTAAGAGAGCAAAACGGATTCGTCGACAATACACAGCAATCGTGCGCACTATAAATGCCAGCTGTGGGCAAGGTTTCAAGGCCGGTAAGCGCCGTACCGAAGTGGTTAAATGCTCCACTCTGTGTTCAGGAATATTAAATCACACGCGTTGTCTCATCTTGGGACAAACTCCAGACCCAGAAGACCAGTTTCGGTCTTCTGACAGCCAGATTTTAATTGCTGTTTTATTTCAATTTCGGTATTTTCTATTTTCTCCATTTTTCAATATGCTTTACAAACTGTTCTTTATTTCCCTCGAGTCATTGGACACGAGGCTTTCTTTAACCATTAATGTTAGAAAGCAGGCAACAGCACTTAGGATTTGGCTGACAATAGGCCTGCAAAGAAAGGGACCAGGCCATGTGCGATGTCGCGACTTTCGGAGCCATAAAGTAACGGGTCCTTCAGGAAGGATCACGAATGTGCGGGTGGTCCACCAGCAACCCTCTTTGAGGGAAAGGCTTCCTCCACCGGCAGACCTGGTCGCGGAAGACGGTCCTCCCTTCTTTGGAGGCATCTGATTCGCGGACCGAGGGCCCACCCTCGGTCCTGTCAACCACCAATGGGAAAACCGATTTCCCTTTGGAAACCATGGGCTCCGAAAGATCGTGCATCGCACAAGTTAGTTAGGTCAGTACCAGTCAGTCAGCAAATAATATTCGAAGAGTTCAGAAGAGTTAACCGGAACAATTACAAAATATACAGTCCATTATAAACACAAATTCCTCAAGAAATTTGGTTCGTCATTAACCGACGCCAATTGCGGACGACCTATTGACGATATACAGGCACAATAAACTCAGGATCGTGTAGCACCGTCCAATCATTGGAACACCGAGCGGAAGACTGCCGAATCATTTGGTCCTTCACGCTGGTCTGTTGCACACGTTGGCCTTACAACCCAACACCCGTGTTCGCCACAACGAGTTGTGTGTAAAACATTGGGCCCGTAACATTCACCGTGATTTCATTCTGAAGAATGATGCATTGGAAAAGTATTTCTAGTAATTTTAATGAACTATTATACCTCTATTCCAGTTACGATAAAATTATACAAAAATTTTAGAATTTCTTCAAATTTTGTTCAGGTTAAAACACGTTAAATATAATTTTGGTGCGACAAGGATAACATATAATTCCAATATTCGACAAAAACTCATGATGAGTTAGACACGTCATTGTAATGATAAGGGTAAAGGCCAAGTATATACATAAGTGTGACTATATGAATAGGAAAAATTAGTTCAAAATTTTTTCCCCTATAACGTATTCAAAAATAATCGAAACCGGTAAAAATGGAAAACTATTAAATAATTTAAATTTAAAATTTTTAAATTTGATATTTTTTTTGTATGACAACTAAAAGTATATTACTTTTTCCAACTCCCTTTCATTGGTAAAATAAAGCTTTTAAAATAAAATCCAGTATCAAACAGTTAAAATTGAGATAAGTCCCCAAATGGCGGAATTACCGTGTTCGTGTAGGTCATGAATTATACTTAATTTGTGCGATATAGAGAAATTATAAAATTAGTTGAGCGTAAAGGTATAAATATTTAGATTTCTAAAGCACCAACTTAAGAAATACAGCTTGAAGAAATACAGAACTTAAGTATTTAATAGTGTCAATTTGAATAATTTGAAATGGGTTGCTGGATACTGCTAACAATGTTTTAGGAAAGTTTAAAGTCCCCTAGAATATTCGAAATATTAAACAGATCAAGTTTTCTGTGATGTTGAAAATATTAAATAGAATTTATTCATCATAAATGATATGTAAGCAAATAAGAAATGAGAACTAAATTGCAAAATTGAAAATCAACCCAAAATTTTTGCCATTTTCTTGTCTGGCATTACATACTTATAGCTACGATCTACAGATGTTTTCAAATATCGTCGACATAGATAGTGCTATTTCGATGTCAATCGGAACGGCGTTAGATGAAACAGCTTTCAATCTCAATAAATACAGTGGTTCACGAAAGTATTCGATCGCTATACATATTTTAAGAGAGTACCCTGACTGAAAAATTCTGATTTTAATAAAAGTATGCACGTACGTAAAGCATACAACGAGTTACATATGAATGAATCTGTTTCATTTGTAGATAATACTTCACGTTTGTGAAATCATTACTCAAACTTACAGTTGGATCTCTTGTTTTTCCCTTTCTTTTTATGTAACTGTACAACAATGCGAGGTAGAACAAAATTTTTGAATAAAAAAATGTTTAATTGTTTATGGCTCTGACACGCTATAGTCACTTCTTGTGAGATCTCATATAAAAAGCCAAAAGTGTGTTAAAACTTTAATAGTGGATTTTATTCTCTCAAAGTATAAACTGTATGTATATGTATTATACGTGTTTATATACCTTATACCTGGTATATATTATACCAGATAATCTATAGCGAATGATCAATATATGTTGTTCCGTCGTGGAACAAAGAAGACCCCTTACGGTCTTCCAACAGCCAGATCTTAGGGTCAAACAATTCAGCATCGGAATTTTCCGCTCCATGCCTTCAGCATGTTTCAATGCTTTACCTTTTTCTTTGACTTCTCGTGTCGCGGAACACGAGAATCCTGGAAATCCTTAATTTAACGAAATTAGGCGACGGCTCTTAAGACTTGGCTGACAATAGGCCTGAGGGCTCCACGTGGTCCGTACACGTTGGAAGCCTCAGGCCCTCGCTAGGGGTAATAAACGACCGATGGGGTCACCAGCGCGCGGGTGGACCCCAGGTACCCCACCTTGAAGGAGAGGGTTTCCTCCACTATCGTTGCTTTTTGGGGGAACCTTCCCTTTCTCCAAGGTCACCGATTCGCGAACCAAGGGAACGCCCTTGGTCAAAACAGCCAATCATATTTGGCGAGCTCCCGATTTTTCCAAAGGCCGATCTTAGGAAGATCGAGGAGCTCACTTCTTTGCGAGACCTCAGAGACACCGGTTCTCTTGAAACAGTTCGCCGCAAGAGTTCATCTCTGCAAATCAACAATACGCCACGTTTGCGTCGAAACGTCGAAGACACGACTCTTTTCCGCTCGTACAACTTAAACAGTTGCCCAATATTAATTTGGCGGGCAACACGTGTCGTAGTCGCGAGACGGCCTTACAACCCGTCGGAATTTCGAGATATTCGATCGCGACGCGACGCGACATATGTCATCTGAAGATTCTGTTTAAGTATTCCTGTTTCTGAATATGTTGCCAGTTTGATAATTTATTGGTTGGTATTGCGATGAAATCAGCTTCAGTCTTCATACTCGTTAAAGAATTATTAATTAGAATCGTCAGAAGAGATGAGTCATTGGAATAGTATGATAAATTTGTTAAAGGATGCGAATTGAGTGAATTGGTTTCAGTGATAAATATTTTGCATTGTTCATACGTGAAGCATTTTTCGTCAGTTATTCATTTTAGATACTGTTTGAATGATTTTATGAAAGCTATTCAAACACTATCAATTTGTATTGACAAAGCTGGAGTGAAATGTCACTTAATTTCTTCGTTCATGATCAAATTTTAAATTCTATTTTCGTTTCAGTGTGTTTCGTGAAGTTTGACAGACGTTGAAGGTATAAGTTGTAGGAAAAATTAACATACACTACTTTTTGTTACAGTGTAGCATAGCTCGTATAGTTCGATTAACATATTGGCGAGATAAACACCCTTCGTATTTCAGTTACGTATTACTCACGTAACACATACTAACCTCATGACTCAATTAATAAACTTGTTCTATAAAAGCAAACGCTATGGTCTTGAAATATGGCATTGCAGTATCGTTCGAGTGTATGTCAATTTACTATGTTATGAACTCTTTCATGAGAATATTTTACGATTCGTAACGCATATACTGCTTTTACATTTGGATATCTCCACCGGAAAATAAACTTCTTTTGAATTTGTACACCCAAAGTGACTGAGACACATTTGTTACAATATGTTAACCCTCTATGGACCGAATATATATTTTTCCTGCCTATAAAAATTGTATGTAACATAAAATCAACAAATATCAACCAATGAATTCAGCAGTTTTGAAAGTTTTATCATAACGAATTCATATTGAAAGTTTGAATTAACAACATTTGTATTATTGTTCCAAGATAATGTGCAATAGATAGACAAGATAATTTTCCACGCCATCTTGTGGAGAAAAGGTCATAGGGGGTTATAGAGGATCTAACCTATCATGATCGAATAACCGGTAAATGAGAAAGAATTAGAATTTTTAAAAATGGATCCACAGGAGGTATTGTAAAAATAATTATAAATATGTGACGGCTAAGATTCCGCCACTACGCCCATGCGAAAGGAGCAGGGACATTAGGGTCGAGTGTGCATCGGGTATGTCCCCGCAACATACCAGCAGTCGCTGCAGGTCAACAGGCATTGTCCCGCGGATGGTATTGGCTATCGTCAATGTCATGCCGGGGATTAGCCTGGGACCAGGCAGCGATGTTGCAGACCAACGGTCGTCTTAATTTACGACCTCCCTGGGCGGTCATCATGACTTTCCCGCGCGAGGGCGGTTCCCGCGTAAACCTTTCCCGCGAAAACTTAGTTTTTCCCGCGCGCGGGTTGACGGCTTTTTTCTACCCCTTCCGCGAACACTCGACCGCTTTAAAAGCTCCTAAGTCAGAGGACCACGGGACAGTTGGAAACCTTCTACGACGCCGTGATTATTGTCCCGACGGCCGCGACGAGCACCGACATACGGATTGCGATCCACTTCAAATATATGGAAAGAAAAATCGCGAACTGGAGTGATGAAGACGATAACGTTGAATGCAGTATTTAATAAAATACCCATACATCAGCATGTAACTTGAAAGTTACATGGGCCCATAGAGGGTTAAACTAAGAAAACGTTGAGAAAAATAATGTGACGGAGATGATGGATGAAGTTCACGTAATGTTTATTCAATAACTGTTAAAACTCGATAACACAGACGTTTTGGTAATTAGGACATTGCTTAAAAATTAAAAAATATCGTTGCATGATTTGAAAATGGCACTTTAGTTACAGAGGAAGTACGGATCAAAGATAAATTTGTTAAAGATGCTGTATATACGAAGGCAGTGAAGATGTTGTGATAAACCCCTACGATCATACTTTCAAACTTTACTTCCTCTGCCCGAAATTATCAACCTCCTGCATAGTTATCTGGCGCCATATCCAAAAATATACTTCTTACCCTAAAATTTAACCCTCTTCACAAACGCTCCATTCCGATTTCCCACGCCGCCAGACATCTTATCAAAGAACTAACCCTCTCCATAAACATCCCATCTCGATTTTCCAATTATCCTATCTTAAAGCTAATCACGAACACTCTACGTCCATTTCCCACACCACATTTAAAACCAAAAGTATCACGAAACTCACTTATCTACAATAACCATAAATATCCTTCCCCACTCTTTGGAACCACCCCCAAAAACTCATGTATGAAAGCTGACCGAGCTAGAGAATAGAACAGTCTTAAGCATACAATCAAACTATCAGGAGTTTCGTTCATCCTTTACTCGCGAATTGTATATGTCACTACGGTACATTATAATTGCGCTATTGGTAAAGACCTATTGATACTACGGTACAATAGATACGAACACTTAAATATCTCGATTCTTTGCATCGTCCGAACAATTCAACTCAGTTCGAACAAACGTTCGAGAACTCGATACTTTATTGTCATCGGGAGTTGTTTGACTTCAATCACCTTTCCCGTGACAATGTGATGGATAGAGATACTGAGATACTGAGAATCTTGGATGTGCAATAAGAGACACTTTCTGATTACATACGCTTTATTGCATTTGTAGTTGTTTGCAATCTTGAGTGTGATGTTTGTATATGCATTATGTTTGAGTTCTGTATGAGTTCTGAGTCCTGGTTGCGTTCTGTTGCGTTTTGTCCGAGTTCTGAATAAATTCTGAATGTGTTCTGTGATGTCTCGTCGTGTTTTGTTCCATGTCACGTCGGGTTTCTTGTGGTTGGTTAAGGATGGATGTTGATCAAGGAAAAATAATGTTTCACGATTGGACGTGGGTGTATCTAAACGAGTCTAGGTTTGAGGCGTTGCTAATCGCTACGGTGGATCTGTCACACGTGAGTTCAATCTGTTGGGTCAGGTGCTTGCAAGTGTTCTGTATTTTGTGTTTTAAATACATTGCTTAATTCGTTGGCGGGACGGCAAGGCAGGTCTAGTCTTCGGTGTTGCCGTCGCAACAGATACTATACGTATTAGTAATACAATTACTATGAAAAAGCAGAATAAAACACTTATTAGAAGACAATTGACAAACAAATTTAACACCAGACAAAGAATACAAGTTTCAAGAGGTTTATTTTAAATTGAATACTTGCAAAAGCAAGAGCAGTGTATGTATTACGAATCGCAGAGTTATTACGTGTACAACGAAGAGAATAACGAAGCACACGACAAAAATTGTCAACAAAAGAATTAAATAAAGATAGAATGAAGTATGTTTCATATTTGGATTATTATAGATTATTTAATTTTAATTTTATTTAATTATAGATGATTTAATCCCTTAAACTTAACCTAGAGAGACCGATCGCGCATACACGAAAGTATTCAAACGCTTACATTTACTACGTTCAACAACTGAAATATATACATTAAAGTGAAATATTTAAAACGATATGGTCAATGCAGTAAAGACATATACGACACTTACATTACATTTATTGGAGGTATGGACTGTGGTGGCGCTAGTGAATTAAATAGAAAATTGTCTTAAAGCTGTCATGTCAACAAAAGACGAATCAACGTCATATATAAATTTCCTATTTTTTAATTAATGGTACTTTTCACTAATATTGTACGTACTTATGCAATATTCTTATAATTCATCGATAATACATATTTATAATAAAAGCATCGTAAATGCTATACGTATAGTTGAATTATTTCCTAATTTTATTCATATACTTTTAAGAGTTCTTTTCTGTTATATATATATATAAATTATTATCGTTTGAAATATTTTAGTGTAAACGCATATATCAGTCTTTAAAAACAGTACATGTAGACGTTCGAATTCTTTGTAAAAATATAAAGTTCTAATTGTAATCCACGAATTGTTATTTTTATAACTGGAAGAAAAGACATTTTAATAATTTTTTAAATTGTTTATGTTTACTACGATAAAGAGTAAACAATTGGTATGATTTTTATGATTTTAATTGCTTTACGTTTACTTAATATTCTTTTTTGTCAAATTTTATTATTATTATTCAGTTTTGATTATTACTGCATATAATATGTATGCAACATTGACCTTCAAAAAATTCAAGTTTTATACAAAATGTACTATAAGAAATCTTGATATCCTGACATTTTGCTGAATTTTTTATTTAATTCTGTTACTTAATTCTGTTTCAAAAATAATTTACAATGTGCATTTTATACTGAATTAAGTAAATAAAATATATTTTGTCTGATATTTCAGTAAAAACGACATGATAAACAAATAAGCTGGGAACAAATACACTTATCTGGTTAAATCTTTTTATGTTTATGATGTTACGTACAGATATGTAATAATTAATACGAAAATATTAACATTGATTTATTATCTTTTGGCTGATGTATTGCAATATGAAGATTCCTGACCATTCTCAACATTTTAAGAAGTTCATTTGTTAAAATTCTAGATTCTGGAGATGGAGATGTCCTTTAACAAGTCGTTGACTATATTCATTTAAGATAAAACAAGAGTTTGAAAAGAATAAACGTCTAATTGCTGGCAGTTAATCAGGTCGTGCATATATGGCTTTGAATGAAGCGTCGACCATCAATGGTGTGGCTGGCAGCAAAGAACTCTTTGTTACCATAGATGTCCACAAATTAGTTTCACATCGTTTAGTAATTATCCTCCTTTATGAAGGCTTTAACAGCTAACACTGTTTTTCCAACCAATAACGATTGCAGAGATATCTTAGGCTCAAGATCGCACAAGATCACAACAGATTATACTACTCTTACCTTTAATGTTCTTGAAAACAATTCATTTTACTATGCAGATGTCGGTTGTTACTGAGTATAACCAGAATTAAAACTAGCGATGTTACATCCATGATCATTTCTTAATCAAGTCCTTTGCTATTGCAATTGGATTGAATTGTTGCAAAATTTGATAATTAAAATGTAATCAAAATATAGCCAAAATAAAGAAAACATCGGTATTCTAGATTATAATGATTTAATTTAAAGTTATATCCCTTGATATACGAGGATATTAGTGTTAAGCCCATTAGTTTTCTAACACTGGAGTGCCTAACCATTTTACTTTTGAGGAAACATTGCTGGCATTTTCTAAACAATCAAAGGTACACACGAATGCCTAGAAATTAGTTTATATACGCAAAAACATAGCAATTTGTAAGATATATGGATCAACAGGTCTTTGCTTCTTCTTCAGGCCTTAATCGTGATAGGCATGTTATACACTCAGAATGCAATATATTGACAATAAGTACATAGTTTTTCTTTGGATGCTTTTTTAAATTTCCATAGTTTTATAATTTTCTTAAGTTGTTTTCTTTCTGATCTGATATTCCAAGTGAGCGGATTCTATCTTGTGAATTTTCAAGTTACCTTATTGTGTAGGTTATCTGTGAGCCAAGAGGATTGTTCAAAGGGACAAACTGTCTTTAGATTAAATGATCCCCTACATATATTCCTATCGACCACATTTTTACAGAATAATTTTTAATTTAAGATTAAAAAAGAATAAAACTCAGATTAAATTAGAACAGTGACCAGCTGTGCCATGATTTTGGGAACACCCTGTATTGAACAATCATTGTAAATAACGACGTAAATCACTCATAGGAAAATATTGATACTAATAAATTAATATTTTTACGACTAATTAATTTTCTATCATATAGAATTCACAGTATATTATGAATGACTATAATCAGTTGATAAAATTTGCAATATTTTATCATTTCTAATATTTATTTTTAACATCGCTATGTTAATTTAAATGCTAATTTTTAGTAAGTAACGTACAACTGTAAACAAAATTTTAGTAAGATTATCATGCCGTTTGACCTGGAAAATAATTAGGATGACTGTAAGAGGTAATTTTATTGTCACTATCTACTTCCTATGGTGATAATTATTAGGTCAAGAACTGTGGCGAAAATAGGAATAATATAATATACGACGTAGTAGAAACTACTTACCTGAAGAGGGCTTAACGATATATGACTAATTTGATTGAATGAAAGTTTTCGTTTTATAACATCTATCAGTTTTCCTTTCTCTGAATCCTTTTTCATTTCTTCTTGACCAATAAGATATAAATGTTTATTGGTAAGAATAAGATTTCTTCTGCTCATCTGCAATTTATCGTTGATATATTCAATGTAACATATATAATATATGTAACATACGTATGTAATATATATATATTGTGTTATATTGCATTATATGTATTTCGAATTAACTTTTGTATAGATATATTTAAGTAATTAATGTAAATACCTTAAACCTTCTGTCATATTTCTTTACAACCTCAGCAAAGAAAACTTTTTCTTTTCTTCCAATTAAGTTTAATATTTGACGTTTGCCTTCTAACCCAATGTAGTCACCCATAAAATTTCTGTTTAAACTAGCTCGTCTACGTTCTTTACGACCAAATAACAAATCAGCTGCTTCTTGTTTTTCTTGTTCCTGCCTCTTTCGAGCGAAATATTTCTTAAACGCTTTTTGGATTACTCTAGCGTACATATTGTATTTCTGATCTCTTGCTTCTTCCAACATGAAAAGCTGAAATGATAAAATATAATAATCGAATATATTGTCAATTTATACTGTTACATTATATGAAACACAGATAAATTAGAGTTTCAGAACTAGGTCTGTTTTATTGAAATGCACACTTAGAGCTTCTAAATAAGAAAAATTTTATGAAAAAATACTTTAACATTTTGTCAGAATTGTTAAGTAAGTTTTATAACTTCTATTGTCATCAAGAAATTTAAAAATACGTTGGTTGGCAAAAATTTTTTCATACAGATACAACTTATGCTTAGAAACCTCGATTAAAGTTTCATGCTTGAGAACTTTAAAAATCTTAAGTAAGCTTAAGCTGATAAATATAAAATTAATATAAAAATTCATGATATACGTATTATGCAGAGCTGTATGTACTGTACAGTATAATGCATCCTGTATTATGTAAAATAAATATGATCCACATTATTAACAAAAAGGAAGATCAGGATATATTAAAATTGATTTTTTTTTTCTTTTTAATGTTTGCACCAAAACATTTGATCAACGTTGAATTTTTTATATTAAAAATAAATTTCAACTTTTTGTTCTTTGGACTTAATCAATTTGGCAAATAAGTATGTATATATTCAATTATGAATATAAAATAAAAATCGGAATGACGTATTCTACTAGATATTATGTCACTATACAGGGTGATCAGTAATTGATGAACATAACTGGATAGGATATGAATTTACTAAAAAAAACTTCTTTTCATATGATTTTTCGTTTTCAAAGAAATCGGCTTTTACAAAAATATTGAAATATTTGCCTATATTTTACAATTTGCAATAAACCGCGTTATACCAAAAATGCATTAATCGTTTGTATCGGATGATCTATACCGATCGATGTCTTATCACTATTCGGTTTTATAATATATTCTATTTTATTCGTTAGTTTTATATGTTTTATCCTTCTTAAGTTCGTAGAATTAACTTATGCTAAGTTTATGTACCGGAAGTTCAAGATATTCTACTCTTGATGGCTACGTGTGGTAGCTAAACATGTTTTATTCTGTTTACTGATTTTGTATATTCTATCTTGATGGTCATTGTTCCCACGCGTCGCGGTCCAAGTTATTTCCTTCGTAGGAACGCGTGGGCTGCTTTAAACTTTTTACGGTCTAGTGCTGATAAATTTCTACGGTAGCTCGTATGTTAATATGTTTCGTCTTGACTCGTCGAAGTCTTAATTCTTTCTCACGGAGTCTCCATTCTTACTGTTCCAAGTCTCGAATTAGACTGTTTGAAGTATCGAATATGACTGTTTCAAGTCTCGAATCTGACTGATTCAATTTTGATCTCCGATTCCTCGCCTTGGTATGTCGAGGATGCACGCTGATTGCTTATTTTGAGAAATTTTAATTTTCCAATCAGCGGCATCCTAAATGTTGTGACCACTTTTGTGTGCGCTCTTGGCGTGTCTTCTTTTGGTAAGGGTGGGACGATACCTAAGCAGACGTGAGATCACGGATTTTGCCCAAGGGTTACGGTCTTCCTCCAGGTGCGAAGTGTCGGTAGTTTTTACCATCAGAGGAACTTCGGGATGACCCTTCAGAATTACCGAGGTCTATAACACGTCTTTTCGCTATTAAGCGTGAACGAAATTAACCCTTTACACTCGAGAGGTAACCCTCAGTCACCATTTCATAAAATTTGGAAGATCGATATTAATTAATATATCAAATTTAATATAATGTAATAGCGTACGAGGTATTGAAATCAATTAATTTTACAATTCTATTATTATACAATTTTTTATTCACTGCTCAAAAAAGTATCGTCAGTTTTTCAGTAGAAAATCTTTGAATTTCTACTCTTCTCTAGCCAAAAAATCGTCGAGTGCAAAGGGTTAAGATTTAAAAGAACATCTGTTTCATTGCCCTCCAATATTCCTAGATTGCAACTCGAAAATAGTCTGTCTTTACGATCGTGTTATAAACCATAGAAATACCGATCTCACGGCTCATTTAGGTATGCCAAGGAGCGATATTCCATATGCACTGCGTAACAGTCATGTTTTTGGAATATTCCCATCAAGTAATTTTTCAGAGCTATGTTTTTTTGGCGAGGCACTAGTTATTCTCATCATATTGCACGTCGGTCTGATTTGCGATATAAGCTCATAAAGTTTATTACACAGAGAAACTTTATATACAGGCTGTCCAAGAAGGTTGAGACTAAACTTACCTATTTCAAATAGATGAAAAAGTTCATATAAACTTATATCCGAAAATTCTTTATTAAACAGATATTTATGATTTTTTGTGACACTAATAAGAAATGTTTGAAAATTCCTCTTTCTGCATTCCATTCGTCAAATTAGCGATTGTTAAACTCTTTCAAATGATTCCATTTGTATTGAAAATAATAGTAAATACATTTCGAATACATTCTCAAAGTCGATCTACTGTTTCTATCGTATTTTTATAAACCAACTCTTTTGCATGACCTCGTAAATAGAAGTCAAAAGGCGTTAGATTAGGTGACCGAGGAGGCCATCTGATTGGTTCGCCATGACCAATCTAACATTGAGAGAATTGTCTCTTAAGAAATTCATATTCCCTCCAAAATGTGGCAGGGCACCATCGTGTTATTGATACTTGGTAGGGTGTTTCTAATGAGACGTGATGCAACATATCGTGAAGATTATTTTGCAAAAATTATAAATAAGATTCAGCTGTTAGTTTGCATGGCATTCTATAAGGACCTATCGATTTATCGTCTATTATCCCTGCCCACACATTTATAGAAAATTGATGTGCATGCAAAGTTGTAACACGAAGTTTGTTTCCAAATCTTTAAACGCTTATATCTCTTCACTAAAGCCTTTTCAGACATAAGTTTATATGAACTTTTTTCATTTACTTGAACTCGGTAACATGTAGTTTCAGTTTAGTCTAAACTTTTTTGGACACCCTGCATCTAAAGTTGAAGAAAAACAGAAAAATTCCTGATACAGACGGAAGTTTAGGTTATGTATAGTAAGTCTACATTCTAAAATATGTATTTATACAAGTCCTACTTTATTAATACTAAAATTTATACGTACAGAAAATTTATACATAGGGTAGACAGAGATGAATCGGATCAAAGTCTGTACGATGGCAAAAAAAAAAAAAAAAAAAAAATAGTTAAAATTTAGAAATCCAAATGTTTATCATAAATTCATAATAAGTATATACTCATCACGAATATTAATGATCAGAAATAGAAACAAATTTAAAAATTTTTCTTTTATAAACGGAAAATTGAAAGATGAAGAATTTGGGGGTGAATCGGATAACTTAAAGATTTTTAGAATAACTTGAAATTTTCGTGTTAATTTAAGAAATGTATAATTTAATGTTTACTAGGTCAACGATTCTACTTAGCGCAATGGTGGTTGTTCATCACAGTTATTCTTTGTCCCCGTTTGCGTCAGTACGTTTCTCGTGGCACCACTTTTTAAAGATATTACACTGTATCTTCTGCAGGTAGATGGATAAATTTTTCATCGTACTAAGTGCCAGGCTATTGAATGCTGACTCGCTTTCTCCTTGACTAACTCTTTTTAGTTTTCGAAATTCTAAAGTTCTCCCTTATTCAACAGGTTTATTCTCCTTTTCATTATTCCCTTGGCGCCTTAGTCTTCTGGATAGGAAACCGAGGAAGGCGATTCTCCGTTGATTTCGAGAAAAATCGGCTAATTAAGCACGGTGATCGCTCTCGTACGATACTTCGAAATTTCGCAGTTAATGATCGGATAATTGCTACTGAGATAGAAGTTATCGAGGAAACAATTAAAAATCGTGTATCACTTAAGGGATGTAGTCCAGGTGGCATAGATGCTGAATTCTACTCATGAATAATAGCAAACGTCATGCGTCATATACTTTAATCGCGTTTCTCGTAACGCAACATAAACGATTATCATATTTAATGATAAAGTTATTTAAATGAAAAAGGAGAGTAATACGACTCACTCTAAATAACTTATCCAAATACCTCCAAAATTTGACTATATTTTTATTTCCATCCGATTCACCTCGGTTTATCCTACCTATTTCTGCCAAATCTTAATAAAAGCTATTTTGTTTACAATTGCGAGGAGATAGTAATTAATTTAGCGCGAGCAATGATGAACGAATAACAATTTTTATGTAACAACAAAAGAAATTAATCTTTTTCATTTGGATTTTAAACAAGGACAGAAAATAAAAAATAAGCCATAGTCGTACAACTTTGTACACTTGGAAAATAATAGTAATTTTTTTCATAAACATGTTTCTTACAATTGAAAGAGATTTTAATGGTTTCATCGTCCTTGCGATTTTTACACGTTATAAACGGATAAATTTTTCAACATAATTACAACCGGTGAAATGATCGTGAGAAAGAGAGAGAGAGAAGTCGAAAAATTTATTACACGTGACTTACGAGAAAAGTCGTTAAATAAAGTAATTAAAATGACAAGGTTGAATGTAGAATTTTTAACCTAAGATTTAAAAACTCACTTGATCAGTCATTTGATCGGTCGCGATCTCGCGCTTAACGATATTTTGTTAGTTCTACCTTCTGGCTCTGCACAGTACATGTACATATCATAAAAATTATTTTTATAAAGCAATGCTTCTTATCATTGAACTAATCAACATATCTATCATATTTTTAAAATAAAATTGGTGCTTACACTTTCGGGAGCTTTGATAAACAATTTCGTTTTTCCTAGTTGATATTGAGATCGATCGATATGAAGGCTTCTTAATATCCATTCGACACCCTGTTTGCCATCTCCTGACCATTGTGGCCAGGTTTCTTTCGTGAGAATTCCATACCTTTGTAAAAATTTGATGAACGGCCTTCTGTACGCGAAACCAGCTCTACGTACTCTGATATTTTCCTTCAAACCTAAATATTCTACCTAAATGGTGTGAAAAAGAAAAATATCAATTCGAGAAATATGTATTCTTACTAGTATTGTTAATATTTTGTTAGTATTGTATACGTAAAATATATATTTGATCATAATTAAATTCCTATTTAGTGTACAGGATGTCCTAAGGTAACATACCGGAAAATAATGTCACATCTTTTAGTATTTTGAATGTGGATTTAAATAATCCAATAAATTTTTTAATGCAAGATTATTTCAAGGTCAACTTACATTTTTTATCACAAGCCTATATTTTTTTGATTTCTAAACTTCATTTTATGCAAAACAAGACATAACTTTTATCTGAAACATTTTCTTGTAAGATTTCTGTTTAAGATATATATAGAGACACATCTTTTCAAATTCATGCTAAATTTACATGTTTCGTGTTCAAAGCTAATAGTGTTAGTTGCATCTCTGCTCAAAATACCGTAAGATAAAACATGTACTAGTTTATTTTCTTTTAAATTAGTTGTCTGCGAGACTTTCCAATTTGCAAATTAGATAGGACATCCTGTATTTAATATCCTTGAATTAATTTTATTCGTAAATAAATAATAAATTAATGCAATATTCGTAATATTCCGATTAAATATTTTGATAATCGTTAAATTGCTTTGCATCGTCAGACAACAATTCAGTTTAAAGTATATACACTCGTATACATATATACTTAATTACAGTATATTAATATTCATAATTAATTTTACAAAAAGGTAGTAAAAAATTGTTTTCCATTTATTTGCCCAATTGAAAATATACATGAAAAAATATATCAATATTTGCTTATAGATGCTTGGTATTAAATTATATTGTATGTAGTGGGTCACACATCATCTTCGATTGCTGATTTCTAACGACTATTATTATCTTATTATGTAAGTTTCAAAATCGTTGTTAATGAGGATGCGCGTCACATCGAATAATTAATAATTAAAATAAATCCAAGAGGCATAACACTTTAAGTTCGTGAACATTTTAATTTATGTATATCGAAGATTCCCAAGATATCATTATTTTGTGTGACAGTCAATTCTGTATATTTCACGACACTGTTATTTTATAAAAAGTTCATTTTCATCGACAGCTTATTTGATGTAACATAAAGCATATTTTCATTTACAAAAGTTAAAAATTGTATTATATTATATTAGCATCTATAAAAGTGGTTATTATCGAAGTTCGAATATTTCTGAGACTCTCTGTATGTAGACACGGATAAAAATTAAAAATTTAGAAGGTTTACTGAAAAAAAGGACATACCTGATGCTTTACTCTAACTGAATCCCAGTCTCGAGGTCTTTTTGTCTCATTTGGCTTTATACATCTAATGTAATGTGGTGTACATTTCATCAATTGATTAACCAATCGACTCGCTTGATTCCTTATCTTGTTACCAGCAGTAGTGGGTCTGGATCTAAGCGTTTTCGTTTTGCTTGCTTGGACTTCTTGCGAATATAACTTGTGGACCAAAGAACTGTAAATTTATAACATATTTAATACATTTCTTGTACAATATTCGTGGTATAGCCAAAAAAGAGATAATTTTACATTGAAAAATGAACGAAATGTTTGATATCAAGTTTTTTTTTTTCGAAGCTTCATTTTCGAAAAAATCGATTTTGAAAATTTATACCATTCGCGTAAGATCAACACTTTATCTTACAGGGAGAGTTCGCGGGTGTGAAAATGGCTTTTAGGATAAGACTTGATACAAGTTGCAGTATTCAGATAACGTGATAAGAGCCTCATAAGAGCCTCATACTGTTCATTAAACTGGGCTTTCATTTTTGAAAAATTTCACTTTAAGGTTTTTTTTATTCACTTTATATTATACCTTATATAAATATAAGTTTTTCTATTTATCCGAATATAGTGATGCGGATGCATCTGTTCATTCTGTTACGACGGTAATGATACATGGAAGATCTTAAAATGAGATGTTCTTCTCGAGGATTAACAAATTATAAATCAAAGACAAGGACTATGGATAGCAGTACTTGGGACCAGACTCAACAGAACCGCCAAAACGCTAAACAAACATACTCATAAATCTTAAAACTAAACAACATTAAAGGGAAACTTCCCTGACAGTTTCCTTCTCCTAAACCAAAGTCCTGTTAAAACTCCTTGTCCAATCAAAAACTCTATTTTCTCCTTTACCTACAATCACTCTCCACCAATCACCGCAAACCTAGATTAGACAAGACAGGCGATAGTTAGAAGTTAAAGACGAAACATCAGACAGTTTTTGGAAGTCAGACAGAACACATCGAGACGGTAGTTGGGAGACAAAACGAGAAGTTGAAGACGTAAGACGGAAGACAAGACGTAAAAGAGCAGAAGACGATATACCAAACACATACACATCATACAACTCATCAAATCATGTAATAAAGTGTATATACAAAACAAACTGTGGCTTATTGCACACCCTAAGTGTTCAGTATCCTGTAAGGATTCGGCATACGGAGAAGAAAGCACCACAGAAAATACAAGGCTACCTTCGCCACGCTACACATTCTGTAGTATACGGCATACAGTTCTCTCACTAAATCACTAATATATCTTGAACTAAGATTTCGAGTACTTATCTATGGATGTCGCGTCGCGTCGTGATCGAAATTCTCGTATTTCCGACGGGTTGTAAGGCCGTCTCGCGACTACGACACGTGTTGCCCGCCAAATTAATATTGGGCAACTGTTTAAGTTGTACGAGCGG